TAATGGGCACAGCGGGGGTACAGACCCGGGAACTCAGCACAGGGAGGGGGGGGCCCCTCATAATGGGCACAGCGGGGGTACAGACCCGGGAACTCAGCACAGGGAGGGGGGGGCCCCTCATAATGGGCACAGCGGGGGTACAGACCCGGGAACTCAGCACAGGGAGGGGGGGGCCCCTCATAATGGGCACAGCGGGGGTACAGACCCGGGAACTCAGCACAGGGAGGGGGGGGCCCCTCATAATGGGCACAGCGGGGGTACAGACCCGGGAACTCAGCACAGGGAGGGGGGGGCCCCTCATAATGGGCACAGCGGGGGTACAGACCCGGGAACTCAGCACAGGGATGGGGGGAGCTCCTCATAATGGGTACAGCGGGTGTACAGACCCGGGAACAGAAGAGAGGTCAGAAGGTTTCATTCTTCGGAATCCACCAAACTCAATTATCGGAATGATCATTTCTCGATGTTCTGATTGGACGACGTTTTGTATTTGTTGATCTTTGTTATTGTTCCAATAAAACAGAATTTGGACACAATGTCCCGGAAGATATTATCAATGTTTATAAAGCGGCTTTTATGACCATTTACCTAAGTTGAACTTTCTTCTTATTTTCCCCCCTGAAGGAGTTTAAAACATTTGGATTTGTACAGATGAAGCTGAAAACACGGACGACGTACATATCTGGGATCTGTTCCTGATCTGATTGGCTCATTATGTGGCTTCTTCCTCCCCCAGTCTGAGCTCTGCTGTACAGAGGATACTATGAAGTCAAATTCAGTCACTTACAATGTTTGTATTTAAAAAGAAATCCCTGTAATGATATATTAATAAATAGAAATCTGCATTCATCTGTTTTTTTTAGGAGAAAGGTACAGCAACCTGGATAGAGTAAGGGAGGCTCCCCTCCTTCATCTGTGTCCCATTGGGGAGATTACCCATCACTTCCTGTCTGATACAACAGGAAGTGAGAGGAAATCCACACAAAGGGAGGGAAATCCCTGGTGGTCACCAGAACTAGTGTCCCCATTGGAAGATTTCCTATCCCTCCCTGTTCTGGTGACAACACAACATTTGGGATTTTCTTTCGCTTTCAGTGATAACGGTCACCAGAAGCTGATTTCCCCTCTGACACAGAGAGTAATAAAGACCTGATGGGGGTTATAATCCCTCGTCACTCATTTACTGTATGTTAGTAATATGTAAATGTGCATAGCCCGGCCCCCGGCTCCATGTTATATTAGGTTGAGCTGTACCTTGTACTTTGCTTATCCCGTTCTAGGTGGAATTTCACCCTAGAGACCATAGAAGCATTAAGCAGTAGGGTTGCCACCTGTCCAGGATTCACCCGGACAGTTCGGGTTTTGAATGCTGTGTCCGGGTTTCATGGCAGCAGAAACCCGGACACATGATGTCAGGCAGACAGGGGCAACCAAAGTTAAGATAGGGGCTACTGGAAATAGTCTCAACTGTGATATTTACATATGAATGGGCGGCGCTATTAGATATGAGTAAGCCACGACTCATTCTCCCCCAAAAAATGTCAGCGCGTTGCTTGAGTGTTCGGGTTTCCCTTGAAGAAAAGGTGACAACCCTATTAAGCAGCCATGACACATGTACCTCGGTCAATGACACGGCACCGTGTGTGAGGTCTGTCCGTGCTCTGGGTGTCCAGCAATCAGCACTGGAATCTGATGGCTGTGACCGGTGACACCGTACAGTTCCTGGTGTCACTCGGCCCCCGCCAGCTATCTCCATCCTTCGGTTGCAAAGCCTTATTGCACATTGCTTAAAGGAGAACTCCAGGAAAGTTAACCCTTGCAGTGGGGCTCATTCTTCTCCGAAGATATGCTCATCTGATCCTCGGCGGTGGCGGCACCGGGGTGGGTGTCACCCAGTGCAGGTGCCGCGCATGCGTAATGACGTCAGCGGCGTGACGTCATGACGCATGTGCGGTGTTGTACTTCACTGCTGGTGGCCATCTTAGTGATGGACGCCGACAAGAAGAGGAGGGGATATTGACCTGCCACTGGGTCTCTATCTCGTACCCCTGTCGGGCTCTTGGCCCATGACTGAGTGCCCGTCTTAGGGGGTGACACCAAATGACTGTTAGTCATTTTGGTGTCACCCCTGCTGATGGTGTCACCCGGTACGGGATACACCCCCCCTTGTGACGCCACTCATCCTCAGTCCTGCGGCGGTCAGCACTTACCTCTCCCTCCACTCTGGCTATGGTATGTCCCTCATGTCTAATGCAAGTCAATGGCTCTGCATTAGATGTACTGATGTCATGGGTCCTTAGACTGCTGGGGGGAGAAGAGGCTGAAGGGACCAATCTAGCAGCCTGGAGGGACCAAGCATCAGGTTCTTCATTCCGGCCCCTAGACCAAAACAAGCACTTAACCCTTACAGTGCCGGGGTAGCCCTAGATTTCCTTTAAACGCATAGCAAGAGGCGGGGCCGGGTGACACCACGAGCGTCATGCGTAGTATTCCAATGCGGATGACCGGACGGCGGGAGGTCACACACGGCGCTACGCATCTATCAAGGTGCACGTGCTATACTTTGCACTCAGTTGTCCTCTGTCCTATTCTTAACCTGCCAGTTCATGGAAACGAGAGGAGGGCGAGGTCCTGGGAGCGAGGCGGGGCCAATAGAAAGAGGAGGGATTTAGGGAGCAGTCGATGAAAAATATGAGATTTCAGCCGAGGTTGAACCAGTTTAAAGGAATGCGAGCTAACAAGAGGGGGGTCGAGAGGAGGCAGAGAGTTGGAGAACTGTCAGAAACAAGGGAACGCCAAGATCCTCGCGCAGGTAAAGCAAACATCCCATGTGCCAATTAGGGTTGGCGTTCGCCGGGCTTAAAGGGGGCGTCCGCTCTGGCGAAAAATTACTAATTGGATTGAAGGGACAGATTCAGATGAAAGGAAATCGATGCGTTTCGGATTTCTTTTCTTCTCATCGCAGCAAAAGAACAATCTCTTTATTACATATTCAGGTGAGTGCGGGACGCCGCGGTTGGGGCACTTCGGCTCTTTCACTGGTCAGATAACAGTCCGCGGGCGTCCCTGATCGCTCCCTCCTCGCAGCGTTCTGCACGGGATGAACAAGTCTACTGATCATTAAAGGAGACCTCTGGAAGAAAAAATACTATTTTATTTTTAAAATGGAGGAGAGATTAAAATGACCTAAAAGAGCCCAAAATAGAGCTGCGGGACCCTGGCGGTGCTTAGACCAGATATAACTAGGGTTGTCACCTGTCCAGGAGTCACCCGGACAGTCCAGTTTTTGAGTCCTGCATCCAGGTTTCAGGCCAGCTGACACCCGGACGCAGGACACTAAGTGCCGGCACTTTACATTTTTTGCCAGATGCAGCTGCCTGAGGTCCCGTGCTTGCTAGGGGACCTCGGCAGCCTTCCTGTGAGCCGCAGGTGCCTGTAAACATCTCTGTCTTCCTGTCACCATGCTGCCCGCCTCTGGACCCCTGGTGAGACACCACACAGCCCGCACAGCACTCCTGAAAGCCTGCATAGCCCACCTGAGACCCTACACACCCACCTGAGAGCCCGCAACGCCCATCTGAGAGCCCGCATAGCCCACCTGAGACCCTACACACCCACCTGAGACCCTACACAGCCACCTGAGAGCCCGCAAAGTCCACCTGAGAGCCCGCAAAGCCCACCTGAGAGCCCGCACAGCCCATCTGAGAGCCCGCATAGCCTATCTGAGAGCCCGCATAGCCTACCTGAGACCCTACACAGCCACCTGAGAGCCCGCATTGCCTACCTGAGACCCTACACACCCACCTGAGAGCCCACAAAGTCCACCTGAGAGCCCGCATAGCCCACCTGAGAGCCGGCACAGCCCATCTGAGGGCCCACATAGCCCACCTGAGAGCCTGCATAGCCCACCTGAGAGCCTGCATAGCCCACCTGAGAGCCTGCATAGCCCACCTGAGAGCCCACATAGCCCATAAGCCTGCATAGCCCACCTGAGAGCCTGCATAGCCCACCTGAGAGCCCACATAGCCCATCTGAGAGCCACCTGAAAATTGCTGCATGCAGTGCTAGAATGTTCAGGTTTCACTTGAAGAAAAGGTGGCAACCCTAGATATAACTCTGGGGGGCTTCTAACGACCACCACGGACGCCACCTTGGAAGCCGCCATACATAACCAGAGCTGACCCCTTGAAGCTCGGGGTGTTGAACCCCCTTCCTGTCCCAGCCATTTTTCACTACTGAGGTACTTTGACTGACATTTATTCCATCATCCAACGCTGCACTGAACTGAGTTTTATACCGTTTTTTAGGGACACATTGGGGGGAATTGATCAAAATCTGGAGCAGATTTGCACGGCGACCAATCAGCTTCTCTGTCTCATTTTCATATCTTAGCTGAGTAAACTGAAGAGAGAGAAGCTGATTGGTTGCCATGGGCAACTGCTCCAGATTCTGTCTGCTCCAGTTTTGATAAATTACCACCATAGAGCTTTCTTTTGGTGGTATTTATTCACCACAGGGGGGATTGATATTTCACGATATAAAGAAAATAATTACCAAAAATACTGTTTTCCCTACTTTATGTTAGGAAACATTTATTATTACCCGATTTTTTGGTAAAATATAAAAGGCGGGGTCACGTCGGGTAAATAGACACCAAACATGTAAAGCTTTGCACATGCCCGCGAAATCGCCAAAAACTACCACACCCAAAATTTCCCATAGGTGACAAATTAAAAGCTCATCACTTTAGTGTTATCGGTGATTGATGGACCTAAAATTATTGCTTGCACTCCGACGTTCGCAGCGATATGTAACGTGTGCGACGTAATTGTCATTTTTGGCACATAGGCGCACATGTGTTTGCCCCTTACGTTAATCTGGCCCCGATAAGAATAAATAATACGACATACCCGGCCCCAATATTTTAGGTCTAGAATTCTGTAACTAAGCCTTTCAATGTTATTTCCAGAGCACATCAACCCAAAATGGACCCCAAAATGTTTGAAGTATTAGCAGAACAGATGAAGAACTTAAGGGTGAAGATGGAGCTGGTGGATGGAGTCCTCCTCCCGGACACCACCGTGGAGATGTGGGACCAGTTCTGGAACTTTCAAGCGCGTGAAGACGATATCCTTATTGCTACATACCCTAAAGCCGGTAAGTCTTGGAGGGGAGGACATGACCCGAGCATTCATTCTGAGATTTCTTAGGTCCTTTTATACCAGAAATAATCAGTTGGGTTTGCCTTTGATTTGAAGGGACCCTGAGGGGTCTATTTGTAGCCAATTCACAGAGCCATTCACCCTACGACTCTTTCTCAACGCTCATTATAAGGGTTATTCACAAAAGGGTGAAGAGTTTGGAGAAGTGAACAATCTAGGACAACATAGCTGAACTGGAAAGAGAGCTGAAGTGGAGAATTTTTCCAAATCAGCTATTTTGGCCCCTAGATTGTTCGCTTCTCCTGCCTTCTCCAAAATATTCACCCTTTTGTGAATAACCCTGTTTGCGTGAATAGGTGCAAAAACGAACATTCTTAGATATATTGTCATTTCAGGTTGTATGGAAAAATTATGTCGTTCATCATTTGGGCCACTAGATGGAGCTGGGAATACATATTCTCTTCCTTTGCTCCTCAGCTCCATCTAGTGGCCATAATGCGATAATACATTACTTACATTCAACCTGAAATGAATATATATATATATATATACGCACGTCCATCTTTTCGGCTATTTGCACAGAATGAACGTTCATAAAGATTTGTAGGGTGCATGGCTCTGCAGATTGGTAAGACCCCATAGTGTTAACAATTGCAATCATCTGGCTTGGAGGACAATTATCAGATGTAGGTATGTACCGTAAAGGCAAACTCTATATTTCAGTGCATTAGAGTGTAAGCTTCTCTGTACAGAGACTGATGTGACTGTGGGGGCCATTAGAGTGTCAGCTACTCTGTACAGAGACTGATATGACTGTGGGGGAGGGGACATTAGAGTGTAAGCTTCTCTGTACAGAGTCTGATGTGACTGTGGGGGCCATTAGAGTGTCAGCTACTCTGTACAGAGACTGATATGACTGTGGGGGAGGGGACATTAGAGTGTAAGCTTCTCTGTACAGAGTCTGATGTGACTGTGGGGGCCATTAGAGTGTCAGCTACTCTGTACAGAGACTGATATGACTGTGGGGGAGGGGACATTAGAGTGTAAGCTTCTCTGTACAGAGTCTGATGTGACTGTGGGGGCCATTAGAGTGTCAGCTACTCTGTACAGAGACTGATATGACTGTGGGGGAGGGGACATTAGAGTGTAAGCTTCTCTGTACAGAGTCTGATGTGACTGTGGGGGCCATTAGAGTGTCAGCTACTCTGTACAGAGACTGATATGACTGTGGGGGAGGGGACATTAGAGTGTAAGCTTCTCTGTACAGAGTCTGATGTGACTGTGGGGGCCATTAGAGTGTCAGCTACTCTGTACAGAGACTGATATGACTGTGGGGGAGGGGACATTAGAGTGTAAGCTTCTCTGTACAGAGTCTGATGTGACTGTGGGGGCCATTAGAGTGTCAGCTACTCTGTACAGAGACTGATATGACTGTGGGGGAGGGGACATTAGAGTGTAAGCTTCTCTGTACAGAGTCTGATGTGACTGTGGGGGCCATTAGAGTGTCAGCTACTCTGTACAGAGACTGATATGACTGTGGGGGAGGGGACATTAGAGTGTAAGCTTCTCTGTACAGAGTCTGATGTGACTGTGGGGGCCATTAGAGTGTCAGCTACTCTGTACAGAGACTGATATGACTGTGGGGGAGGGGACATTAGAGTGTAAGCTTCTCTGTACAGAGTCTGATGTGACTGTGGGGGCCATTAGAGTGTCAGCTACTCTGTACAGAGACTGATATGACTGTGGGGGAGGGGACATTAGAGTGTAAGCTTCTCTGTACAGAGTCTGATGTGACTGTGGGGGCCATTAGAGTGTCAGCTACTCTGTACAGAGACTGATATGACTGTGGGGGAGGGGACATTAGAGTGTAAGCTTCTCTGTACAGAGTCTGATGTGACTGTGGGGGCCATTAGAGTGTCAGCTACTCTGTACAGAGACTGATATGACTGTGGGGGAGGGGACATTAGAGTGTAAGCTTCTCTGTACAGAGTCTGATGTGACTGTGGGGGCCATTAGAGTGTCAGCTACTCTGTACAGAGACTGATATGACTGTGGGGGAGGGGACATTAGAGTGTAAGCTTCTCTGTACAGAGTCTGATGTGACTGTGGGGGCCATTAGAGTGTCAGCTACTCTGTACAGAGACTGATATGACTGTGGGGGAGGGGACATTAGAGTGTAAGCTTCTCTGTACAGAGTCTGATGTGACTGTGGGGGCCATTAGAGTGTCAGCTACTCTGTACAGAGACTGATATGACTGTGGGGGAGGGGACATTAGAGTGTAAGCTCCTCTGGTTTAGTCATTGATTTGATTGCTTCTATCTCTACACAGCAGCATTGCTCATTATGACATTTATGTATGTAAATCATTTAACTCCATCCAAGTTCAGATCATCGAACAAAAACTCTAAATCCTATGAAATTGTCCCTGAAATTCAATCCGCCGGGACTCAGTGACCACTCATATCTTCATGGCTGACAATGGGCGATCCCGGCGGCCGCAGCTCCCATGTCACCTGTAACAGGATTGTGGTTGTAATAATAGGATTGTGCTTAACAAAAGATGGAACTCGATCTTATGAAATTCTAATACCGCGCATTACGAAATCGCTGCACAGCTGCCAGAGTTCACCACTTACCCCAACCGTGACTCAGCATGGAACTTTCCACAGAGCCGCGCTAAATGAAGGCAATTCATAAATGAAATGATAATAAAAATTCATAAAATAAAGTGGAACATTAGGCAAAAATAACGAATAAAGAAGCGTTCTTAAAGGAGAACTATGGGGTCAGTGTTTTTCCCCATAGTTCTCTTAAGGGTCACAGGAGGAGATATACTAGCGTCCTCCCGTGACCCAAAGCTCAGTATACCGCGAGCTACATCTGGTGAGGTGGGCGCTTTTCACTCACCTCATAGTTCTAGCCGACCTGTGACAATGAGACTGTCACAGGTCGGCTCAGTAGATCGGGAGGTGAGCGTACACATGCCGGCGTTCGCTCACTTCTCGATCCTGCCACGCCTCTCTGCCGTGACAGGGGAGGGGCTGGATTCCCCCCTCCCCGTTCCGATCCTCCAGCGCTGACTGGCGGAACGGACGGGGGAGGGGGCGGGTACAGCTGGCTCTGCCTCTAGATAGGCAGAGCCAGCTGTCACTCACGCAGCTGGGCGGATCTCCACATCAATGTCGGGATCCGCTCCGGCTGCGGCGTCTCAGTATACCGCGAGCTGTAGCTCGCGGTATACTGAGCTTAGGGTGACGGGAGGACGCTAGTTTGTGTCCTCCCGTTACCCTGAGGAGAACTATGGGGAAAAGCCCTGACCCCATAGTTCTCCTTTAAGGAAAGCTGCAGGAAAACATAAACATTCAAGTTTATAGAAGATTTCAGATCAGGCAAACCTGCATGTAGATGTTGAGGAAAGCCATCAAATGTTGAGCTGGCGGTTCTCCTGACCTGATGGTCACTATTTACGTTTTTATGCTTTTTCGTCATAATTAAGAACAGAAATGAAAATAGAGAGACTTGCCGGGGTCCGGTGTGCGAGCTCGGGCCCCTTCTGTGTGGGACACGTGCAAAAACACAGAGAGGGGAAAAATGTGAAGAACTTGGAACATAATGGTGGTCACTCTTTTCACTTCTCACCGGGGCCACATTAAGGACAACCAATGCCCTAAGCACAGCCCAACAGTGGTGCCCCCCCCCCCCCCCTTGGCCCCTCCATTGCTTAACTTCGCTGCCACTCCATAATAGGAAGGAGGAAGGGTCAAAGGCCGGGTATAATATAGTTTATTGAACCATTGTCATCACCAGGTCTGGTATCAAGATCTGTCCTCGTGGTCCACATACACATATTTATAGGTGTCTCCATGCCCATACCTCATGAGATATCTCTGATTCTATTAGCAGGCAGAAATAACATTACCATTTTTTATTCTATTTTCAAAGGTACCACATGGACGCAGGAGATTGTGGACCTGATCCTAATACAGGGCGATGTGGAGAAGAGCATGCGGGCACCCTGCTTTCTTAAAGTGCCCTTCCTAGACCTGAACGCGAAACCATTACCATCAGGTGATCAATGTGATGTCAACACCACTGTTTATCTGGCAGGTCCTTCTTGGAGTCAGTTAAAGTGGAATCCCCTAAAGTGGAAACTCTCTCAGGCTTTTATGTCCCCTATTTGGGGGATTTTGCCTCACTTCCTGTCATGTCAGTGAGTACAGTGAAGGAAAATAATTCCAGTTGGAAAACAGCAATAAGAGCACCTGGAATACCAACTGTGGGTTCCGGGACGTGGAGGCAGGGCCGGGTTTCCCACAAAGCCAACCGAGTCCCAGCAGGGAGTAGAGGGGCAGCAGGGGTGTGGAATTCCTATCTCCCGATGCCCGGGACATGCAGTTTCGTGCGCCGGGCGTGTAGTTGTTTTTTACATTTAGCCCTGCTTTGGGCAAGCAGAGCTACAGCGGGGAAGCCGCCGCTCGCTTTGCCAGCTAGGTCGCCGAGATCACTTGGATGCAGCCTGCACACGGGGGGCGGGGGGGCGCATTGAGGAACCTGGTCTTGGGGCAGAAGAGAGAGTAAATCCAGGCCCTGGGTGGATGGACTTGCATCTTTTTTTTTTAGCCTAATTAACAAGGTGACTCTGTGCTGTATATTTCAGGAGTGGAAGCTGCAAATGCCATGCCATCCCCTCGTCTGCTAAAAACACATATGCCGATTAAGCTGCTGCCACCATCTTTCTTGGAGAAGAACCCCAAGGTGAGTCTCACTATAACAACCGCAGTGCTGTACAGAAAGCACTGAGCCAGTCACATCAGTCTCTGTACAGAGGAGCTTACACTCTAATGTCCCCTCCCCCCACAGTCACATCAGTCTCTGCACCAGAGGAGCTCACACTCTAATGCTCCCCACAGTCACACATGTGCAGTAGGAATATTATCTGGAGAAGCCCATTCCAGCATCTAATTGAATTAGAAAACCCCCACAAAGGCCTTGGGAGAACATACAAACACCATGCAGATAGTATGTAAGTGGGAAATGAGCAGTGCTGCAAGGCCGCAGTTCCAACCACTAGAACGCTGTATTGCCTATGTCTGTATCTACAAGAAATGTGTATGGGCTTCTTCTAAGAGCCACTTATCTCCTCTGAGCAGGTCATATATGTGGCCAGGAATGCCAAGGACTGCATGGTGTCATACTACTACTTCCAGAAGATGAACAAGGGTCTACCAGACCCCGGGACCTGGAATGAGTACTTCTCAACCAAAAAAACAGAAAACTGAGTCAATGTGCACAATAAAGTAATACACTGTAATGTGAATTCCACTAACACAGCATGGAAGGGGCATGGTGCCTATCACACGGGGCTATACATACGTAGAGATCATGGTTATGAAGAAAAGAAGGTTGAGGGATTTGGGTTCAGAAGATGGACATTTCACAGATATAAATGTCTCTACTTTCAGTGCCTTGGGGAAGCTGGTTTGACCATGTCATCGGCTGGTGGAATGCAAAAGACAAACACCGGATTCTCTACGTGTTCTTTGAAGACATGGTCGAGGTGAGGGTCAGATTTCCACTATCCAATCACGTTACATCTTTTGTTTTGTTGTTTAAACTTTTTTTTTGTTTTTTACGCTAGGAACCAAAAAGAGAGATAAAGAAGATCCTCCAATTCCTGGAGAAAGATGTATCCGAGGAGGTCTTTGAGAAGATCCTTCATCACACATCATTTGAGATAATGAAGGATAATCCAATGACCAACTATTCTGTCCTACCTCCTGAAGTGATGGACCAGTCTGTCTCCAAATTCATGAGGAAAGGTATGATACTATCATTCACCAGAAAGTAGGGAGTGTCAATGGATGAAGATCTCTAGATAATGTTCCTTGTTCACTCTGTTCTAATAACAACGTCCTTGTTTTAGGCAAAGTCGGGGATTGGAAAAATCACTTTTCGGTGTCTCAGAACATCTTGTTTAATGAAGAATATAAGAAGAAGATGGAAGAGAGTGGACTGACCTTTCGAGATGAACTATGATGAGACGGACTAAAGCTGACCACATGGTTTACCAACCATTGAAGGAACTTAGTTATACCATTTGGATTTTGTCTACATGGCAAGCACAGTTTTTAAATGAAGATTTCAATTCCCAGGGATGTGTTGTGCCGTCTGTTCTTTATGATATTCTATACTAACAGTACTCCCAATGATCCATCTGTCCTCTACAAATCTGTAAACTCTGAACTTTGGCCTCATGTTTTTACTGTATATATGAATTTGTTTTGAATCTTTTGATTTTTTAATTCTTGAATAAGCAAATGAGTAATTTACCACACAGGGAAAAGTGACAGATTCTCTTTTATGCACGCATGCACTCACACACCTTTTTTTGCTCACTGCAAATTCTCACCTGTCATTTCCTCCTTGACTGTCCAAAGGAAGGAAAATAGTCAATACTTCCAGGTATGCAGGTGCATGCGACCATCTTCTCACATGACAGCACTGCTGCTTGGTGATTGGCCCAGCATTATCACTTGGGCATTGGGGAGGGAGCCCTCCTAATCCCATCCTTCCTTCTAATCCCATCAACTGAACAGAGTGGCAGCACAGCAATAGAAAAGTGAGAATTTTGGGCTGGGTAGGAGTAGCATGTGAATCTGTTGCCTTCTCCTACATTGACAAAGCACAGGTTTGGTTTAAAGCCGAAGAAGAACTTTCCATTTAAATCAGCTAAATACATTCCAGGTACATCGAAACAAAAGGTGTGCAAAATGTGTTTTCTTTAGAAAGCAGTCACAGCCTGAGTAGCAAAAAACACCCCCCTGCCAGCAGGCTGCAGAGAACAACCCATGCTCTCTATGTGGAAGCATTGGTCTCTCTGCAGAGGTTCAACATGAGGATCATGCTCCTTAGAACTCATAACCTAATAGAAAAAGGTATGAAGAACCTGCACCTTAGAATTTACAGTCTAATAGGAAAGGGTATGAAGGTCCTGCTCCTTAGAATTTATAATCTAATAGGAAAAGGTATGAAGTTCCTGCTCATTAGAACTCACAGACTAATAGGAAAAGGTATGAAGGTCCTGCTCCTTAGAATTTATATTCTAAGAGGAAAAGGTATGAAGGTCCTGCTCATTAGAACTCACAGACTAATAGGAAAAGGTATGAAGGTCCTGCTCCTTAGAATTTATAATCTAAGAGGAAAAGGTATGAAGTTCCTGCTCATTAGAACTCACAGACTAATAGGAAAAGGTATGAAGGTCCTGCTCCTTAGAATTTATAATCTAAGAGGAAAAGGTATGAAGGTCCTGCTCATTAGAACTCACAGACTAATAGGAAAAGGTATGAGGTTCCTGCTCATTAGAACTTACAGACTAATAGGAAAAGGTATGAAGGTCCTGCTCCTTAGAATTTACAATCTAATAGGAAAAGGTATGAGGTTCCTGCTCATTAGAACTCACAGACTAATAGGAAAAGGTATGAAGGTCCTGCTCCTTAAAACTTACAGACTAATAGGAAAAGGTATGAAGGTCCTGCTCCTTAGAATCTAGTAGTACAGGTATGAAGCTTCTGCTCCTTAGAACTTACAATCTAATAGGAAACGGTATAAGAGTTCTACTCCTTAGAACGTAAAACCTAATTGGAAAAGGTAAGAGGATAGAACTTACAATCAGATAGGACACAGAAGGTATAAGGGTTATAACTTGTAGGCGGGGTTCACTGTGGGGGTGTTGCGTGTGTTCCCTTTGGGGCTACTAGGTGTAACCCCGTGTATGCAATACGACATTAGGCACCCCTTCTCCTAGGGGCCTTCGATTATGGACACGTGTTAACCAATCCAACACTGGTAGTACTGCGCACCCAGGGCCCTCATGATATCCACCGCCTATGCGGACTTCAGCGCTTTCTCCCCCTTAGGAAGAAAGGCCACCATGAAGGGCACCCTTGGTCGGGCATAACCCGTTTACACACATACCCTCCTCGAGGTGGTTATGGTCACAGTACCGTCCATCATCAACACCCTCTTGTAGAACCCCTCCATCTCAGAGGTTGAAGGAAGAAGAACCAGTCCACACCAATAATCTTTTCTCAGTTTTACTTGAACAGAATAATAAGTACACGTTTCAGCCATCCCCGAGTGGGATGACGGCACCTCTCTTGTTACTTGCTTGTTATGGATATTAGAGAGAGCTCAAGTCCAGGTGCAGCCCAGAGTCCACTACTGGTGTTGGCCAAAGGCCCATAAACACCTATTGTCAGTCTTCCCTCACTTCAGTATTCTCCCGAATCCCATCCTTGGCAGTCTTAGCTCGGTGGTAACTGGGGAATCACTATTGCTTCTACCTCTTGCTAGGCCTGGTCCTGTGCTTCCCATGGACCAGCCTTTTTTTAAAGAAATCAGTCTCTTTCCAGAGACTCTGCATACCGTCCCAGACTTCTGCACTCTCTCTCTACTCCCCCCTAGCGCCCCCCGCCCCCCATATATTGGCTTCCCAGGCCAGAGCTACATCTATCTCCAGGGTCCTATGAGGGCATCTAGTGGCCATTGGCCGTACTGCACCTATCCTACAAACTGTTAGAGCTTGCAATCTAATACGGAATGGGAATGGAGGTCCTGCGTCTTACAGATGACAATCTAATAAGGAAAAGGTATCTAGGTTCTGCCAAAAGACACTCAATGTAAGATAGTCCTGAATGTTAGAGCTTACGGTGTGATAGGTAACAAGCTTTATACAAAAGAGATATAAGATGATGTCACGGTCAGGGGACCATATTCACTGGGAACACAGCTCTGGGGTCTTCAAGACAGCCAGGCACTGACAGAAGCAGGATGACATCTGCGGCTGTGGACACAGGGAGTGTAGTGACTGCACATCAGGCGTGAGTGTAATAGAGGCCCAAAGTCTAAGGAGTGTATTCACCAGAGCCACCCCCTTCTCGCAAGGGGAGCTGGGGTTCGTTGCAGGACAGCTCTGATCATGTTTTTTTTGGATGGCATCCAGGGCTGTAATGTCAGGAGCATGGGGCAAAGGTAAAGTTTTAGGAGAGATTGACAGAAAGGTTCTCGGGTATATACGGTACTAGTGAAGACTCGAGGGAAGTGACACAGGAAAATATTGCACAGGCTCAGGAGTGCATGACATAGGTAAGGTCTCAGGAAAAGCATGGCACTTAGGGAGAACGATACTAGCAAAGTCTCTGGGGAGTATGGCATGCATAGAATCTTGGGGATGCATGGAGCAGGCAATGTCTCCAGTTCAGAAGAGGCCAACTCAAATACTTTTACACTCAGAAGAGACAGACTCAGGCAGAGAGGATAATTGAACACATTCAATAAAGATAGGTTTAATTTCAGAGGAGATCGGCCTGGAATTTGGAGGGACCCTGTCTGCCTCTCAAGAGAGTGAGTCAGGGTTCAGGACCCTTGGGGCTCTGGGCCTCAGAGGCAGGCTCAGGGGGCTGGGCCTCAGAGACCGACTCAAGGCACTGGGCTCAGAGGCAGGCCTGGGGAGCTGGGCTTCGTAGGTAGACTCAGGGCAATGGGCTTCGAAGGCAGACTTGGGATTCTGGGATTCAGAGGCAGACTTAGGGTGCTGGGCTTCAGAGACAGACTTTTGGGCAATGGACTTCAGAGGCAAACTCGGTGCAATAGACTTCAGAGGCAGACTCGGAGCACTGGGCCTCAGAGGCAGACTCAGGGTGCTGGACTTCAGAGGCAGACTTTGGGCGCTGGACTTCAGAGGCAGAATTGGGGCGTTGGGCTTCAGAGGCAGACATGGGGCGTTGGGCTTCAGAGGCAGACTTAGGGCACTGGGCCTCAGAGGCAGACTCGGGGCGCTGGACTTCAGAGGCAGACTTAGGGCACTGGGCCTCAGAGGCAGACTCGGGGCGCTGGACTTCAGAGGCAGAATTGGGGCGTTGGGCTTCAGAGGCAGACCTGGGGCGTTGGGCTTCAGAGGCAGACTCGGGGCGCCTCAGAGACAGAGGGCAACATCATTGCTGGCAGATCTTGAACAGACATTTCCGAGTTACTATAAGAGAGTGTGATTAAAGAATTGAAGTCAGGATCAGAAAGCCGTACTTCAGAACTGGAATCCTTTGGTGAGGAATATTTCCTGGGAAGTGGACAGCAGGCACAGGGGAAACTAAGGGGGTCATCTTCATCCTCATCTTCAGAAGAGTCAGTCCAGTCTTCAGAGTCTATTTCCTCGGCTCCCTCATCATCAGAACAATCAGTCTAGTCCTCAAGCTCCCTACCTTCTTCCTGATACTTTGGAGAGAGAACAGAAGGACTGGACTTGACATCCCTAGGGGTAGATGTAACTGATGGCACAGTTTCTTTGGGAGACTGGGGCTGTAAATTCAGCTTAGAAGCAGATTTAGTGTTGTGACGATCTGGGATACCATCTCTGAGTGGGAAGAACACGGCTTCAGGCCTTGAATAGCGACAGAGATATCTACAAAGAAGTCAGGAGGGATTTGCAGGCGACCGTTAACATATGCGAGAAACTCAATCATCTTTACAGGATCTTCGTACACATAGAGGTTATAATCTAGAGCCTTGGTTCTCAACTGGTGGGTCATAACCCAAAAGTGGGTCACGACCCCGTGTTCAGTGGGTCACCGCATGCCTTCCATTTTTCTAGGTGAGAGGCTTCTCAGCCTCCCTCTAGCGCAGCACTGTCAGTTCTCGCGTTAAGCAGCCATTCATATGCTGCTCGGCGCCGAGTGTCAGCTTAAGGTGGGGTGTGGTGGGCTGGACCTATGGCCGCAAGGGAGCTCCATCCATACGTGTATTGCTTACAGCTTCCTCACATGTCCTGTAGAGCTGCCTGGACCGGAGTGACTTCACATTCTGGCCCCCGCCACCTCTACAGGGAGTGCAAGGGAGCTGTACAAGCAATGCACGTATGGATGGAGCTCCGTCACAGCACAGCAGCCCACATTGGACCCCAGGCTGAGGATCCACTCCAGTTCTTGTAAGGTAGGAAGACTGGGTGGATCTTAAAAAAAAGAAAAACATTTTTGGGAGTATGGGAGTGTGTGAGAATGTCTGTAGTTGTGTGAGTCTGTCAGTGTTTTTGAGGGCCCGTTCACACTAGTACAGTGCGTTAATCGAACAGTCCCGTGCGATTGCACTTACTACGCACTCCGGTGTGGGGTGTGCATCACATTGCCATTCCCACATTGCCTCCCGCCCACAGTTGGATCGCCCCCCCTGGAACGCGCGCTAGCGCAATGCCGTGCATTCCATTGCAGTGTGACTTGGGTCGCAACTTAATGACCAAGGACAAATGTGGGTCCTGAGGTTACACAGGTTGCGAACCACTGCTCCATCCACACAAACAGGTCACCTTCTAGGGGATAATATCCGCGTTGTCACGGGTGACTGCAGGTGAAAAGGTTCCTGAAGCAGTTCGAGAATAGCTTTCTAGAACACGATGATGTTTGCAGGATTCAGGTCTTCACATCTACGTGGGGGAACAAAGATGTGTCGCTGTGGCCTGGTTTCCCAGAGAACAAACTTCTTAAAACCAGCAGGAGGACTACAAGTCCCAGCCGGCTAAATTCCATAGTGTGCACTGGAAACTGAGACATGAAAGATGATACCTTTGCAGGGCCCCTGAAACTGTAGGGATCATATCTCTGATGAGGAATGTCATCATGGTTCATGCAAAGGACTCCTTTGCTTGAACCAAGTCTCCAGGACTGCCAGGTACTGACAGAAGCAGCAATGACACCCGGGGCTCTGGGCACAGGGAGTGTAGGGATCAGGATGACTGTACGTCAGACGTGGGTGTGACAGAGGCGCAGAGTCTAAGGAGCGCCTGATATTTACCAGGGCCCCCTGCAAGGGGAGATGGATTTCACTGCAGGACACCTCCCAAGTTGTGGCCCTTTAACACACCCATGCAGGCACAGCTGACTGAGTATTGCGGAAGAAGCAAGAAACACAAAGGTATAGGATACACTGTGCACAGGAAAAGTGATACAACACAGAGGAACAGGTACGGGATTCAGGATACCAACCGCAGGGAGGGAGCAGGAGGGGTGCAGACATTCGGGAACTGGATAGTAGATTCACACAAGCAGTGGAAAGGTGCAGGCAGTTCAGATAAACTCACAGCTCATGTGGAGATGCAATAGGACGCCTCTGTCAGTATACACAGGATCACGCTGGGAACACAGAAATAGGAATACAGGAAAAACAGCGATTCACAGGAGTTCTCAGAAAACAGGATGCAAGCATCACGAAACACATGATCCCGCAGCTCCAAGCAACAGATGTGCTAGCTCTGTAAGGGAGAAGCTGAGAGTAGACTGGCTGCAGACCCAAGACCTGCAATAGGCTGGAAGCTGAGTACCCTGGTCAGAGGGAGGTACCTGGCACGGAAACATGGCACTGGTAAGAGGGACAATGATACAAGCAATGTATATATGTACATGTAACTTACATGTAGATGCACTCAGCATTTGGGAATAGACCTGCAATGCAGTTGGTATAT